CAGTGTCCTTACCTAGAAGGACTCTCCATCTTCTTTGCACCCTTTGTGCTCTAAATGTATCTTGCCTGTCAGAGACACTTAGCATTTAGCATTTGCTGTCTTCCCTTAGAGTTGATATTGTACAGGCCTATTTTCCTCTAACTATCTGAAAGATTCTTAAGGATGGAACCAATGTGTGTTTCATCTTTGTTTCCTCCACAAAATCTTGCATAGTTCTTGGAACATAGTAAGGGTTTAATGAAGTGTTCAGTTGATTAATTAATTAAATTCAGTTCCCAGAAATGACTCTCATGTAGGAATTTCGTGCAGTATACCAGGGAAGCCAGAACAGACATGGTTCTCTTGGCTTTGACTTTCACCTTTCAGGCTCCACACGCCTGCACTTTCATTTCCCATTTGCAGATCCTCAGAACACAAAGCTGGTGGCCCCGAAACTTGGAACTCTCACACACTGCTTGGTTCAACCACTTTGGAAAACAGTTTGGCAGCAACTGCTAGAGGTATATTTACATACCCAGTGATTCTACCCCCAGAGATACACCCAACAGACATGCATGCACTAAAGGGCTCATAGAGGACGTCCCTGGTGGTCCAGTGGTTTAAATTCTGAGCTTCCACTGCAGGGGGTATGAGCTCCATCCCTGGTCAGGGAACCAAGATCCCGCATGCTGAGCAGCTCGGCCTAAATGCTCTTAGCAGCGTGATTATCATAGGGAAAAAAAAACCTTGAAACAACCCAAACGTTCACCAATGGTAGAATAGATTAATAAACTATTATATAGTCATACAATGAAATACAGCCATGAAAACGACCAGCTGCAAGTGATAGCAGAGATAAATCTCATCAGATGTTGAGCAAAAGAAGCCACATACAAGAGTGTATACTTTATGATTCCATTTATATACAGGCAAAACTAACCAATGATGTTAGAAGTCAGAAGAGTGGTTGTATTTGTGGAAGAGGGTGGAGGTAAGGAAAGGAGGGAACATGTGGTAAACACACAGGTGTTTTCACTTAACAATAACTCACTGAGATGTACGTTTATAACTTTGCACACTTTTCTGCACACATATCATGAAGACAATAGCCCAGCTATCTCTGGAGAGATTTCTATAGAACTGGTTCCCTCCAGTGGTGCTGCAGCCCTGAGTTCTCTGAGTCCTGATCTCTCTCCTGTGGACAGATACTTGACTATTCACACTTTGTCTGAGGGGGAGTACAATAAGGAAAAGATGGACAAAAATAAATCCAGCCTTTTTAGAACTTGTCTGGATCCCAGCCAGAGCAGTTGTGATCAGTGACTCCTTCCTGAGAAGTGAAAGTTTCAACACAACGTATGGGAAGAGCCTGCAGTCTTCAGAGCTAATCTGTGAGATGCTGCCTCTGCCCCTTTTTTCTGTCCAGCGCATCTCACCCCAGACCTTGTGGCCCCTGGGCATTTACAGCCTCTGGTGTGTCCTTTGTAGTTTCTTCAGAATACATAGCCAAAATCTGAATTTAGTGTCCAAAATGAACGTTAGGGCCCAAGTCCACTCTTATGGGCAGTGATTTGAAGGTCCCTGGTCCCCAAACCATCTGACCCCAAAATTATCCCAATCTTCCTCTAAGATACCTGAAAACAATTCATTTATTCACTCAACTAACATGTTTTGAGCACTTACTGTGTTGGGCACTTCGTTGGGCACTAATCACAGCTGTAATTATGTACTGATGGATAAAAATGGTGTAGGCTCCATAAACAAAGGGGCCATGTACTTAATCACTACTGAATCCTAAATATCTTGTCCAGCACCTGGTGCACAGCTACTCAGAACATATCCAGGGAAGGAATGGGAATAGAGAGGGAGATGCTATTGTGAAAACAGACTACTTTACATTACGATGTAATCATGTGATTAAATGTCTTGAATACATGTTTCTTTAAGTTAAAAATGTTGAAGTCTCCCTAAGATCCTGGTTATGATAATGAGAAACCCTCAGAAAAGGGCCACACATTAAAACTTTATCATCTTATCTGAAGATTCTCTAACTCACTTTCTATTCAATTAATTAAAGTCAACAAAAGATTACTGAATAGTCTCTCCTCTTTACTCTGACTACAAAACTAAGTGAAATATATGCCCTGCCTCCAAAGAGCTGAATAACATGAGCATTCATTTTGGAGGACTTGTTATAACTTAGCATTTCTCTGAACACTTTATACACTATATCTCATCTGATCCTCACACATCCCCCAGGAAGCAGGCACCGCTGTTAACTTCATGTTATGAATGAAAAATTGAGAAACAAGAAGTTAGTTAACTTCCTCAAGGCCACAGAGGTAGTTAGTATTTACATGCTTTAAAATCTAAAACAGTTTTCCCAATGAAGCTTTCTGGTAGGCAGATAAACTCACTTTATTCCATGGATTATTTAAAGTACTCATTCATTCAATAAATACATATTGAGGGTCTACTTGTGCCAGATACTGTTCTAGATGCTGAAGATACAGCAGTGAACAAAACAAACAAAAGCCCTGGCCTCAAGGATCTTACATTCTAATGAGGTAAAGAAGAGCCTAGGAGATAGAAAATAAGACAAATAAGTAAATATAGTATGTAAATATATATATATAGTATGTAAAATGGAGACGAGCATTACAGAGGAAAATAAACAAAGAGGGAGATAAGAAGTTACAGGATGAAGGGGTTGACATTTTTAGTGGGAAAGATATCACTGCAGAAGTGGTATTTGAGCAGAATGAGGAAGCAAGCCTCATGACAAATGAGGGGAACACAGCATTCTAAGTGGAGAAAACAGTGCAAAGCCCCCAAGTGGAACATGCGTGAGGACAAGCAGGCCAGCATGGCTGAAATGCAGTGAGAAGACCAGAGAGGAAGGGGCAGTGGTCAGGGAGGCCAGATCACATGGGCCATTGTAAAATGTATGGCTTTTACTCTACGTGAAATGAGAAGCCTTTGGAAGACTTTTGCAATGCTCAAGAGTGCTATGAGCCTCTTACACATATGTGATGCATATTACATTCTTCAGTAAACCAAGACTTAGAAAAAATGTTTCACTGTCATTGTACCACCTGATGGGATGCACTGAAAAAGACATGCCATCACTTTCATGGTATTCCTGCCAAAAGTGCATGACCTAAGTCTTATGACAAAACATTAGACAAACTCAGATTGTGGAACCCTCTAGAAAACAACTGACTTGTATTCGACAAATGTCAAAGTCATAAAAGACAAAGAAAGGAATAATTGTAGATTGAAGATGACGAAAAAGATATAACTACTGAATGCAATACATGATCCCGATTGAATTCTGGTTGGGGAAAAAAGATGTCGTATAGCACATTTGGGGGACAGTTGGTAATATCTAAATATGGACTGTATGTTTGATTGTATCTATGTTAAATTTACTAAATTTGATAACTGTGCTGATATATGATATGATATGGGAACATCCTTGTCCTTAGAAGATGTGTGCTAAAATAGTTAAGAGTAAAGGGGCATGATGTCTGCAACTTACTCTTGAATATTCCACAAAAATAATAATTATTATACAGCTATACACACATACCTATATTTGGAGAGAAAGAGAAATAAGGCAAATGTGATAAAATGTTAACAACTGGTGAATCTAGATGAAGGAAATACAAAAATTCTTTGTGCTATTCTTGCAACTTCCCTGAAACTTCAAAATTATTTTCAATTAAGAAGTTTAAAAATTGAACTAAATAAACAGCAGTTTCAGTCAGCTTACATCAGGCCGGCCCCACAGACACAGGGCATAGCAAGAAGAGAGAAGTTCCCTAAGACCAAAGTCCATCCCTCCCTGTGCTCAAAGAATCACTCGCCAGTCTCCCCCCTACCTCCCACAAATGGGTCTTGTCATAGCCACACCCAAAGAGAGAACCACAGCCCTGGGAATGGGGATGGAGGGAGCATCGTCCTCCTGCCACTTGGGCTCATGATCTGAGTCAGCCTCAACCTTCTGTCCCTCCCACCCCCAGAGCCAGGCATCACATCATGTGGGTCCTACCTCAGCTTTCAAGGCTGCTTAGCCCAGGTTCCAACCTAGCTCTCTTACCTAAGATCCTGTGTCTTTGGGTCCCCCCAGACCACACGCATGAGCCCCAGTCTCCAGACTTCTCTCTCTGCTCCCTGTTCCTTATTACACCCTGCCCTACTCCGCCTGTACTCGTTACAAAAGCCGGAGCCTAGAATGGGTCTTCTTGAAGGATACCAGAGTGCTCAGGGGCTCAGTGATTGAACTGAGTACCCAGGGATGGCTTCTAACAGACCCTGCACAAAAACTTCCTTGTGCCTCTGTTTCTTCCCTTTGCACAAAAGTGTGCCCTCCTCTCACTGCACCCCCCACTCATGATGCCCCTCAAAGAGTCATTGATCTAAAATGCAGGCTCTGAGTCTCAGAGCAACCTAGACTTAGGGTTGGAAAAAGAGGGGGAGCCTGCTTCCCACACACACAAACATTGGTTGGCTCGGGGCCCAGCTGACAGTTATTAGTTTGCTATGGAGCTTCCTTATACTGTCTCCTTCTCTCCCCTTCCCCTCACCCTGCCCCCAGACAACATTTCCTTAATAATTCTCTGGGCTGCTGGGAGGGCTGAGGGATGCTGGGAGAGCTGAGGGATGAGGGACCAGGCCATGCTGCTAAAGCTTCTGTTCTGGCCTTGGCCTCACCCTTCCCCTCTCCCCTCTCCCTTGCCAGGGCTCAGTTCTCCTGCCTCAGAGAATAATCTGTCAGTCTCTGAGCTCCAGTACCCCTACTTCCTTGGAGAAACCCAAGCTCATGGCCACTTCTCCTCTCTGCTGGTAATCACACCAAATTAGAGGATATTTCCTTTGTCCTTCTTACAGCCAGCAGGGAGGATACTTTCTCCCCACTAGACAGAAAGGAAAACTGAAGCCAGTGGAAAAGACTTACCTTGCCTGAGGTGGCCTGGATTGCTTGGCCAGGGGCGCTTCTCAAGGACTTCCCAACCCACTGCCAGCCTTTGCTCTCTGACCCAGCCTGTCCAGAGCTGCGGGGAACTGTTCAGAGTCACAGTTCCAGGTCACCAATGTAAGCAGCACAACCCAGAGGCTCTGGACGCTGATCTCCCTGAAGACCATGGCCCCTAGTCCATGCCAGCCCCACCACTGCCAGGCTGAGCCTCCTTACCTTGGCCTCGATGCCCCTTGATGAGCAGCAAGAGTGTGAGGGTAAGCGCTTGCCCCAACATCCCCACAAGACAGAGGGGTCAGGCCGAGTCCTCTCCCACCAGATGCTCTGCCCTGCACAGGCTCAGCAGCCACCCATCAGCAGGAGGCTGACAGAGAGCAGAACAGCCTTGCTCCAGCCACAGTTTCCTCAACTTGAGGCTGTTCTCATTAGCTGAACGCTAACAAGGCCGTTGAGGAAGCCCCAGTCCCTGGATCTGGTCTGATAGTTCTGCAAGCTAAACTTGCAAAGTCTGCCTCAAGTGGGCGGGTGTTCAGAGTTCACAGTGACTCACAAACAGCTTCAAAATCTTGTCCCAAGCTCTGCCCCAGCCCAGCTGCTTTGTTTAAAGGACAGATGCCCAAGAAATTTTCCATTTCTCTGCATCCTACTGGCAATATGGAGAAACCTACGTGGGGGCCAAACAGCCATCATCAGAGCCTGTCCCATCCCAACAGACATTGTGAAGGTGGAGGGGAGAGGGTTTGGGAAGGATGTGGACTGAGAAGTGGAACCCTAGATAAGTGGGTGAAATGTTGAAGAAGACAAGTAAGGGGCACTAGAAAAATCTAACAGGCCTGGGGAATCTCTGCAAGTTGATACCAAAGTTCAAGCATATGCAAATTAAGTTTTTTTCTTAAAAATGTGCTTTTGCCCTAGTTTCCTATCTGTACTTCTAAATTCCCTCCCTTCTTCTTTTTCTACTTTCCCATAATAGTTCTTTATTCCTTCTCTCAGCTCCTCTCACCCAGACAGGATGTAGACCCATGTTTGCTTTCCCCCAGCATGCATTTTGATTCCACACTCCAGAAAGGCCAGGTAGCATCTGATCCTCCTCACCCCACCAGGGAAAGGTGGAGGCATCCCACCTTCCCCAGAATGCAATTGCTTTGAGGCCACACCCCAGAGTTCTATGCCTTTCTCTTTCTTCTGCTTTCCCCTTAGCAGAAAATACTTTCAGTTCACTTCAGGTCAGTCTTTTCTTCTCCTTTTCAATCTTTTGATCCATTTCCAGTCACCCTGTCTGAAGCTGAGCTAAGGGGAGGCAGACTGAAAGGCTTACTTGCCAAAAGAGGCAGCAGTGATATTCTGGATGGAGCACTGGATTTGGAGTCAAAGATGTAGACATGAGTTCCAGTTCAGCAACACACAACCTGTGTGATCCTGACCAAATTACTTTCTGAGCCTGTGGGCTCAACAATACTTGGCTCCCACCCCTCACAAGGTAGTTTCAGAATCAAATTAAAAACTGTACCTGAGAGGATGCGTGTAAAAACCTCTGGACAACGGTAAGGTTTTGTTTGTTTTCTTAAATGGAGACCGACACAGATTTTTCCAGCTAATCTAATGGTTATCAGCTCTTCTCTCGTTTTTCTCCTCCCAAGGGGCAGCCCTCAGTCCTGGGAAATTTCCTCAGAGTTGATCTGGCCATGCCCTTGACCTTAAGAAGTGGTGCTCAAGGCATGATGAAATAAGGAAGAGTAAATGTCCTCCCGTTAAAGATGGAGGACAAGGTCCATCTGTTCAAAGCAACTAATGGACAACATGAATTAGGAATCTGGTTCACCGCTCCTGACCCCAGCACCAGCTCCATCCTCTTCCCACCCGTCACATGGATGACCTACCATCCCCTGGAAACTGAACTGGAAGCAGATGGTACCACTTTGTGTCCTGTGGCCCTTACCATACTCTACCCCATGATAACTGCTACTTGGTCTACACACTGCCCTGCCTGACCTTGAGCTCTTGTACATGAAGTCTTTTCTCTCCTTAGTTTAGTGTTTCCAGAGCCTGGCCCAGTGCCTGGATAACCAGTTGGTTATAGATTGTTGAGTGCTGAAGGAATGAATGAGTTCCCTAGAGAAAGCATTTCCCTTCCCTCTGAGATACACTGGTAAACTAAGTCACCATGGTCCCTGCCTTCATGGAGTTTATATCTTGCCCTGCAGGATCCTTGTACAAAGCGCCCTTCTGTGTAATCCAGCCACTTTAGTATGAAGACCCAAGATGCTACAAAGTCCACATAAACTCAGAAACTCCTGTATTCCCATTTCCCATGCATATTCCCCAGGTCTTTGGAAGTCTTGGACATTTAAAGGTCAGTGACCATCCAAGAATTAATGTTTCATCAACTCCCACTCACTCATCATTCTTTTGCTCAAATCACACTTTCACCATGTTTCAAGGAGTCAAGGTCATTCTAGTATATCCCAGCTACAACACTGATGAGTCCCCAAATCCACCCACTTCTTTTTTTTTTTTTTTTGGATGACCGCAACAAAAGCAACAATGATTGCAATTACCAAACATGAAACACACTCATACTATGTCATAATATTGACATTCAGTCCAGGAATCCTCCACTGTAACAGCTCCTTTACTTTGCAGTGAAAATTGATTCGTATATTTTTTGTCTCTGAGTCCTTGTGGGATTTTCTATTTTTATTCAAACAGAAAGTCACAAAAATTATAATCATCCTCATCAGTCCACTCAGTCCCATGTAATTAATTTTTTTTTCATCTTGATCTTTTGTCAGCACTTTTATGAATTCATCACTTTTCCATTAGAGTTCTGAAAATGCTTATTCATTCAGTTCAGGAGTATAGTCAGTTACCAGAAACCTGTACTTGTCAGAGTATTTTCCATGGATTCCATGAAGATGAAACCCTTTTATAGGAACATTTTTGCAAAAGCGTCAGAGTACACCCAGAACTGTCTGTAAATGACAAAAGACTTAAAAATGACCATGGTTAAGGATTTGATGAAAGTTCATAATAATGCAATTGACCAGGAAATTTAGTTATTTCTGAGATATACATTTTAAAGTAATAACTAGAATTATGACTTATAACATTATACCAGAACATATAAGATTTTTAGAAATTTCATGTAATGTCTGAAACAATTCACCCACTTCTGAGACTAATTTTAAATTTGGGGTCCCTAAGACCACCTTCAATTTTGATAATTTACTAGAAGGCAATTTAATAGTAATCATTAACATGTTACATACATATGCCCTTTCACCTAGCAATACCCCTCTTTGAATTTACCCACAGAAATACTCTCACTAATACTTTCACAAATGCCCAAAGATAAGCAAGATTCTTCCTTATAGAATTGTTAAGTAAAAAATTGGAAATAACCTAAAGTTAATCAGTGGGGAACAGTTTAAAAAATATGGTGTATTCATTCTATACTACAGTATATTAAGAAGGCTTTTAAAAGAGTAAAATAAATGTCTACATACTCACATGAAAAGAACCTTAAGACATTCACAAAACCATCTGCATAATATAGTTCTGTTTAGGTGGACAAACTAATGTGTGTGTATTTATGTTCTATGAATGATTGTAAATGCAAAGAAACATGCCTGGAGAAAAATATTCATGACAGGGAATTCCCTGGTGGCACAGTGGTTGGGAATCTGCCTGCCAATGCAGGGGACACGGGTTCGAGCCTTGGTCTGGGAAGATCCCACATGCCACAGAGCAACTAAGCCCATGAGCCACAACTACTGAGCCCGGGTGCCACAACTACTGAAGCCCACGCACGTAGAGAGCCCATGCTCCACAACAAGAGAAGGCACCGCAATGAGAAGCCCGTGCACAGCAACAAAGAGTAACCCCCGCTCGCTACAACTAAAGAAAGCCTGCGTGCAGCAACAAAGACCTAGCACAGCCAAAAAAAAAAGTCATGATGGCAACCTTTAGATAAAGAAATAGAATTTTGAGTAGAGGTGAGTGAGTGACTTTTACTTTATATTCCACATATACTTCCTGTCCAGAACTTTTTACAATAACTATATTACATGTGCGATGATTTAAAATATCAGTTCTCCAAGTTCCCAGGTTTTCAACTACATAACATAAGATCAATGTATTAGTGAGGCTTTCCAGAGAAACAGAACCAATAGGAGATATATAGACATAGATAGAGAGATAGAGATGGAAATGGAGATGGAGATAAAGAGACTTATTATAGAGAACTGGCTCATGAATTTATGGAGGCTGGAAAATCCAAAATCTGCAGAGCCAATGTCTCAGTTTGAAGGTCATCAGGCAGGAGAATTTTCTCTTACTTGAGGGAGAGTAAACATTTTTTTTTTTTGGTCACTCAACAGGTTCTGCAGTACTACATGACCTGTGGCTGGTTGAATCCATGGATGCAGACCCGCCTGTATGAAGGGCCAACTATAAAGTTATACTCAAATTTTAGACTTTGGTAGGGGCAGGATCAGCACCCCTAACCTCCACATTGTTCATTTTTCAAGGGTCAACTGTATAGTATAAATCAGAATCTGATTTAGCATCAAATTTTATACTTAAATTGTTACATTTGACATATTAATATATCAGAGTGTTTTGCAAAAATGGAAAAGAAAACATAATGACTCTAGGTGCCCTTGCACCTACTTTGTGAATTATAAATTTAGAAGATCAAAATTGAGGTTTGAATGATAAGGTAATTTGTGCAAGCCAATGTTCCCTTTAATTTTTTAAGTTGTGGTACACTAACACCTCTGAAAACAAGCGCATGTGATCAAAGTTTCATACTGCAGTTAGGAACTTAAAACCAAATTATCTTGCTTTTTTTAATGATATGAACATTCACAATAAACCATAAGTGAAATTTTCTAGACATGGCAAACTATTCTGGAGGATTTTCTTTTCTCCACATTGTTGTTTGTCTATCATGTATAATCCATATCAGTGCTGACAGGTTTTCTGACTGCATGTGCAGTTACATCTATTACACAGGTTACACATGTCCACATACCCACATATTAGACCACAAAAAATGAAGAGCCTAGGTCGGATTTCCCATCCCCCAAGAGTTCCCCTTTTTCTCCCCCCATCCAACCTCCCTATATAACTTTCATGTGAAGTTCTCTCAGTCTTTCTGGCAGAC